TTTCTCAAGTCAAGCTAATCCTTCATTTGTTTGCTAAATTAATCATATCTCTATGTAATTTTAAACAAACTAATGAGCATTAAATTCTATGGAAACCTCTAGTTTAAGAAGGGGGAGCTACTAACTCTCTTCTCTTCCTCCACTACCACATGTGAGCTAATTACCTCTCGGTCTCATAGTCTAGCACACGGTTTATATTATTATTGGTCTAATTTACACAATTCTTTCTCAAGTTCATGCATAAATCACTAAATCAATTGAAAGGTGATCAAGCTCTCAATGCATTAAGTTCAATAATATAAACTCATCATACAAATAACCAATAAATCTTGAATTAAACTAACAAAAACAGTCACATACTTCAAAAATTAAAATCTATCCATCCCTAGTTCAAAGAAATCTAGCCACGCATGTTTCTGTTCTCAACAGCCATGAAAAATAAATCCCAACAGAAAATCATAGTAAGAAATTTGGAAACAACAAAACCCAAACTATGAAGAATTGCAATTGGCCGAATGGTGTTCTGTGGTCGGGATCTCCCAAGAAGGCTGGGCGGCAGCGTGGCTGGGCGGCGAAGAGCAAGGCTGGGCGGCGGAGATTTTTCTTCTATTGCTGGTGAACAACAGAGGCGGGTGGCTGGGATTTTGGGCGGCTGGTTGCTCTTGACTCTTGCGCAGAACAACTTTTTCTCTCCCGTCTGTGTGGCTTGCGTCTGTGTGTCTTCTGTTTCTGCCGAATAGCATCTATATATATCTCTAGAAATTAGAAACCCCTTAACCCTAACAGACATGGGAATTGGGCTTTGGTTTGGGCCTGGACTGTAGTTGGCCCACACCTAGGAAACACAGCCCAATTCTCTTTACTTCTGCACTATGTCCATGTCAAAACCCGTCACTTTCAACCAAAAATCTGTATTGATACAGCTAGAACTGGGTTAAGCTCATAAAACATCAATTGTAGCTCTGCCTCTTAGCTTTCCAACGCCTAAAGAATCAACTCAATCCGATGCCTAGAGAAAAAGATATGGTTAAATTACTGCAGTATGTGCAAATTATCACTTATTACAAAATTAATTCCTATCTTAATTTTCACCCACAAATAATGAATTTAATATAAACAAAAGGTGAAACTAAGTTCCAAAAGACCCCTAAATTTAATTCTAAGCTCAAAAAGGGTAGATAAATCCATATAAAAATTAAACTCATCAGTAAGACTAGATAAAGGCCGAGCTTCAACCCACTTTGTGAAATAATCCACACCAACAACCAGATGGGTTACACCACCAACCCCTTTCACGAATGGACCTAAAAGATCAAGTCCCCACTGTGCAAATGGCCATGGTGCTACCAAGTTCGTGAGTTCTTCTGCGGGTTGGTGAGTCAGATGTGCAAAGAATTGGCACCTCGGACATTTCTGAACAAAGTGAGTGGCATCCTTATACATATTTGGCCAGTAATATCCCTGCCTTAAGACTTTGTGAGCCAGAGTTCTAGCACCGACGTGGCTCCCACAGACACCTTCATGTACCTCCCGAAGTGCATACTCGGCTTCATAAGGATTCAAGCATCGCAGAAGGGGAAGTGAAAAAGATCTCTTATAGAGGATCCCATCAACAAGTGTATACCGAGATGCTTTCTTCCTCAACTTCATTGCCTCTTGCCTTTCCTCAGGTACTATTCCATCTCGCAAAAAGGAGATAATTGAGTCAGTCCAGCTTGGTGTGTCAGGGTTTGTGCTAATCTCCATCATCCGAGGCTTCATGAAGCTTGGTTCATCTAAAACTTCCACAAAAACGGATCTGGAACTTAAAGAGCCATCAGAGGCAGACTTGGAGAGTAAATCTGCCTGTTCATTCTCAGCTCGGGGAATTTTACTCAGACAGAATTTCTGGAATTTGCACTTCAGCTCGGCCACCAAGGCTACGTACTTCACCATCATAGGATCAACAACTTCACAGATTGAGTTAATTTGGTTTACCACCAACTGGGAGTCACTGTATACTTGAATTGCACTGATTTTCAACTCCAATGCTAGCTGTAGACCAAGTAGCAGAGCTTCATATTCAGCCATGTTATTTGTTGCATCAAAATTAAACTTCAGGGCATGTTCGCTTCGGTATCCCTCTGGACCAATCAAGAGAGCGCCAGCCCCTGAACCCTTGCTACTAGATGCTCCGTCAACATATAAGGTCCAGTCATTGGGCTCTGGATTAGAGGTTGAAGGACATGGAGTGCATTCGACAATAAAATCTACTAATGCTTGAGCTCGGATGGCTGATCTCTACTGGAATGTTATCTCAAACTCTCCCAGTTCTACTACCCACTTAATTAATCTTCCAGAGCACTCTGGTTTCTGCAGAATCTGCTTGAGAGGTTGATCGGTGAGAACGATAATTGGGTGTGACTGAAAATATGGCCTCAACTTTCTGGCCAAAGTGACGACTGCTAATGCTGCTTTCTCAGCTATAGGATACCTTAGTTTTGCTCCGTGCAGCACGTTGCTGATATAATAAATTGGTTTCTGCTGCCTAGCTTCTTCTCTCACCAGAACTGAACTAATGGCCTCATTTGAAATCCCCAGGTACAAGTAAAGAAGTTCTCCATCTACAGCCTTAGTCAACAGAGGCGGTGAGCTAAGATAAGACTTCAGCTCTTCAAATGCAACTTGGCATTCCTTGCTCCATTCGAACTTCTTTTGCTTTCCTGATTCGTCTTTCTGGGCGGCTAACCTCATAATTTTGAAAAATGGCAAACATTTATCTGCTAACTTCGATATGAACCGATGCAGAGCTGTCATCCTTCCAGTCAGCCTCTGTATATCCTTCACTGATTTCGGCGGTTCCATCTCGGCAATTGCTCTGATCTTCTCTAGATTGACCTCAATTCCCCTTCGAGACACCATGAAACCTAAAAATTTTTCAGACTCCACTCCGAAGATGCATTTGGCTGGGTTCAACCGCATCCTGTTCTTTCTAAGGTTGTTAAAGGTTTCGTCGAGGTCGGCGAGATGGTCTTCTGCTTTTAGGCTCTTTACCACAATGTCGTCGACATATACCTCCAGATTCTTGCCAATTTGAGCGTGAAAGACAATGGTTACGATTTTCTGATAAGTAGCACCTGCATTCTTCAAGCCAAACGGCATCATGACATAACAATAAATTTCATCGCCAGCACAGAACGCGGTTTTCTCTTCATCTTCTGGAGCCATTGGCACCTGGTGATACCTCGAATATGCGTCCAAGAGGCTTAACCTCTCATTGCCTGAAGCCGCTTCAACTAGTTTGTCAATGCTCGACATTGGATAGCAGTCCTTAGGGCAGGCGTTGTTAAGATTTATGTAATCAATGCACATTCGCCATTTGCCATTTGCCTTCTTCACCAGAACTGGGTTAGCCACCCATTCACAGTAATCGACTTTCCTGACAAAACCAGCCTGCAGGAGCTTCGTTACCTCTTCTTTAATAGCCTGAAGCCTCTCACCCCCGAAGAGACGCCGCTTCTGGGCCACTGGTTTCTTCAATGGATTGGTGCTGAGCTTATGTTGAGAGACTGAATTTGG